GGTCACGGTTTTCGGTTCGATTCGATACATGTTGATTGTTACACCGAAATCCCATAAAAATTTATGAAATTAATGAAAAAATCCCCCAAAAAATAATGAATTGTAATTATTATTAATGATCTGTGGAAACCCTGGATCATTTCCGCATGTTTTGCTGCTTTGAATTTAATCATCTGGCGCATGCCCTCTACCATCTCCAAGGAACTCAGAGCGGAGCGGACAGGAGCCACAGTGGAGGCTGCAGGCTTTGCTTTGAGCAGCCGGTCTGGAGCGCAGCGGGGCGGAGCGCTGACGGAGTATGAGGGATTTCAGGGTTAGCCTGACATGTTGGTCGTGTTGCTGTTAGCATAAAACGTGTTGCACAATGCTCGCACACTGTTGCACTTTTATCCCCAGCTTTCTTTCCGCCGTCATCGTAGGTCACTCTAAATGCAAAGTGGTCCCATACAGCAGACCTATAAAGTGCTGCTGGCGCGTCTTCCAACTCCTGTTCTTTCCCACTCGCCATACCCACACAATTCTCCACAACAACTGATTTTTTTCTGCTACACCCGGCTACGCTGCTTCGCTTCTTCTTCTTCTTGTTTACTACTGGTGGTTGGCTTTGGTCGCAGTACCGCCACCTTCTGCTCTGGAGTGTAATCGCTTCGCCTATGAGAAAAAGGAGCAGCGCATGAACCGAACGCAACACACGCGAACCGAACCGAGACAGTCGAACCGAACGATTCTGACGGTTTTCATAAATCGTCCCATCCCTAATATATATATATTATTGTTTTGTATTTTCTTTTCTGAGAGGTGATCACCCGCTGACATTGTCTTTGGTTACAGATTTCACATAAGGGCCTTCTAATTGTTTCAGCCTCAGATTATCCTGAGCTATCAGCTGTGCTGCTGCCATCAACACCTTTGTTTCTAGATGTTGGAGCTTGGCCTGTTTTCCAGTGTGGTCCTGTTTCTCTGACTGTGACTAACTGGATGTGCTCTCTTCATCCTCTGACATGGGAGCTGGCTCGGAGCTCGTCTGCCTGGCTGTGTGTTTCCTGGACGGGGCCACCTGTGGAGCTGGTTGACAGTTGCCTTTTGTATCTATGCTTCTTTTTCTATGTCTGCTTCTGTCTCCTTGAACCCCAGTGGGCCTCAGCAGATGGCTGCTCACACTGAGCCTGGTTCTGCTGGAGGTTTCTTCCTGTTCAAAGGGAGTTTTTCCTCTCCACTGTCGCTACAAGCATGCTTAGTGTGAGGGATTGCTGAAGAGTCAATGAGTCGATGCAATCAGCTGGTTTTCCTTAGATAGAAAACTTTGAATCAATCTGACTGGATGATCTGGTGAACTGGAAAGTGACCTGAGATGACATGATGTGAATTGGAGCTATAGAAATAAACTGAATTGAAATTTAATTGAACTACGACAATGGAGAGCAGCCGGAGTGAGCAGACTTTTCGTCCGCCTCTGATGGCGGTTGCAGCGGCGGGCTCAGACCCAGCACCCGCTACCCAACCTAGAGTGAGTGGATTAGACGAGCCCTTCCAGCCGACATCCTCCTGTTTCTAATTTCCTGCATGGCGTTGTGGTGATGAATCGTTCTCACGTGGCGCCGGCTTGGTTTGCTAGATGGCAGCGGCTGCCTTATGTGGAATGTATTTTTGTATTATTTATTGTATTTTAAATAGGCTCATTGTAAGGTGACCAGATTTTTTAAATCTAATATGTGGACATTTCAAGCTCGTAGATAAAAATAAATACATATAATCAAATTAAAACTAGGAAACGGGGACAGTGATGCTTTCATTCATTTTTACATATTTATTAATATTTAAACAACAGAAAGCAAGTGTAAAATCCAGGAATGTGCCGCTCCTATTTCCTAAGATTAATCAAATCAATCATTCGAGGGTGTTTATTAGTGCCATCTGGTCATTCAGTCTTCTCTGTCTTCTTCCTTCATCATCTTTTCTTTCTAGCTGACTCCTGTCTGCTCTCTGTTTTACTCTTCTAAGTAGATTTTTCTTCCTTCTCTTAAACTGATTTTTGCATCAGTGGTCGTTTTTCCTCCGCTCTCATTTAATCTTCTTCCCCTCCTCTTCTATCATTCTAACACTAATCTAAAACAGGGACATAAAACAATAAAATCCCTTTCAAATACATAGAATCTAATCATAGATGTTATGATGATGATAATTAATAACATTATTATTGTTATCTGATTAAATACTAAAAATGCTAATCATCACAATATTTGTAGCTACAAAATATAATGTAATAAATGTAGATTAAACAGGTGGTCATCTCTTCCTCCATTATTCTCAGATCATGCAGATCTTGTCTCATTCAGTTTTCCTTTTACTCCCTCTGATTGTTTATAAAGAGAAACTTTCACAGTTTCAAACTGAGTGGTAGAAAAGTAGATCTAAGCCTGAAAGTGTCAGGAACCGAGGACAGAGGGACCCAGTATTCAAGGAAAGGCAGTCAGTAGGAAAGTTCAAAACATTTATTAAATAAACAAACAAAACTAAAGTGGAGCTGTGGCTTGCGGACACTGCAGGATGGGGAGCGTGGGACCGCCCAATCACAGACACTCCGCAGGAGAAACACAGGTAAGTGACCACGATCATCTGACAGAAGATGATTAACTGAGTTGGTCACTTACCTGGTTTAACAGTCCAGTCCTAGAATGCCCCAAGAGCTGCAGTTCCAGAGGACATGCTGGAAGCCGATCCTGGTCAGGGATCCAGAACAGACAGGAACAGACAGGGACAGAAACAGGTGGCAGGATCCAGACTTCCAGGCATCCACAGGCACCCAGGAGGGTTCAGAGTCTGACTGGGACCAGAAGCATGACCAGGTGGTTATGCATGAGCAGACAGGATCAGGTGCAGACAGGCAGGCTCAGTGGAAGAGAGTAGCCGAGACAGGATATATGGAACCAGTCTCCTCCCTGGAGCCAGGCTTACTGAGATAAAAACTGAACCTCCCCACATAATGAGCCAAAAACCCAGAGGACTCCGCGGGGGAGGAACAGTGGACGATCAGGAGACGAGACAAATACTAAAACCCTCTTTCCACTGGCTGCTAGGATGCAGGACATGAACCATGAACTAAAACTGAACAGAAAGACAAGAAATGATCTGGCCCTGAATGCTCAGGTTGAACTGAATATAAACCAGAGGAAACAGCTGAGGGGAATAAATAATAATTGAGGCAGGGAGGGAAAACGACAGGTGAAAGGAATTACTAATTAAGGGAGAGCAAACAGGCCAGATCATGACAGAAAGTCTATGTTCATAAATCACAAACATAAAACAATAAAATAACGTATAACTCTACTGACAATAACTAACTATCTCAAGATGAGCAGTGGTGGGGAGTGATGACCATTAGGGGAGTGGTGGTCTAGTGGTTAGGGCATTGCGCTTTGATTCCAGAGGTCCTGAGTTCGAGTTGATCCTAGAGAACCAGTAAACCAGATTATGAGTTTTCAATGATTCTGGTTCATTTGATCCGAGTCTATTTCCTCCCTCCTGCAGCTGCAGCCAATGATCTGACTGTTGATTAGTTTGGTTTATGTTACATTTCTGCTCCTCATCTTTAGTAAAACAAACACATCAAAGCTCTTTTTATTAACCTGGGAACGAAGCAAACATTTATCTCAATGATCAGCCTAATTCAGATCAAATGAACTGATCAACCCCCCCACCAAAACACAGAGCAGCTGAGACTGCTGCTGATAACCAACTTCCTGGTCTGTTTTAATGCTCCCCATCTATACGCTAACAGCTGCTAACCAGCTAGCTAACAGCTGTCTCAGCGCGCAGCACGCTAACACTCTCTTTCTAGCATAATAACAGTCTCCACGCAACACTAACCCCTCATTCATAAAATTGTCAAATCAGGGCCATTTCCAGGGACAGGAGGTCCAGAACGGGGACTGTCCCTGGAAATCAGGGACGGCTGGTCACCATAGCTCATTGGTCTTTGTCCAGAAAAAATAATAATTATCACAGCACACATTTGGAGGAATGAGTTTCGTCCGCCATTAGGCCACTGTTACACCTGCTGATGAGTTCCAGTGAGTCTAAAACTCATGCAGAGTGTGTTACCACTATTCTGCAACTAATAAACCACCTGATCACAAATGTTCAAAATAAATGTAACTATGAACTGGCTGCAGACTAATTCATAAATCAAATCAGAGATTGTTGCTACTCCTCCTCCTTACCTGAAGTTTGTGGGCATGTGGGAAGTTTATGGAGGGAGATGCCTGATTTATGAAATCATAATCCTGTTGCTGCAGCCAGGTTTCAGTAAAGCAACATAAATCAATCTGATTATCAAAGATCGAGTCACTAATGAAATCCTTTTAACATAGAGATTTTAAGTATAATAAACCGCATTTAATTATATTAACTTTTTTTTCTTAATTACAGACATTTCTATTGATTTAGATTTTGGTGGAGTAAAGAGTGGGTAACAGTAGAGAAGCTGCAGAGAGGTCTGTTAAACTACAACTCTGCTTCCTGGTCTGCACCCTGGGTGGTCAGGGTTTTGGAGGACTAATAAATGTGGCCAGATTCCTGGAAAGAAGAGCTGCACCATCCAAAGTGGGATGGATGCCGTCTCTCAGAATCAGACCAGGCTTTCCCCAAAAGGATTGCCAATTATTAATGTAGCCCACGTTGTTTTCAGGGCACCACCTAGACAACCAGCGGTTGAATGACGACATGCGGCTAAACATGTCATCACTCTCCGACATTGTTTTGGCAAACTGGTACATCGACGAGAGCCAACTTTTAGTGACCTCCGATCAGCGTAGCCTGCATGAGGGACGGTCTTCCTCTTTGACTTTGTCCTCAGCCGTCTGTCTCAGCAGGGACATGATGTCACCTGTTCTGGCACCATGATTGTGTCTCTAATGCCATGTTTAATAATACCTTTAATCAATGGTTAGTGAATGATTTTTGTTTCATATCAACTAAAGTTTTATCATTTCCTTCTTCAGCTCATCTGAAACTGCATTGAAAACTCGACTGAAGCTGACCTGAAACTGACTCACAAGTCACTCCTGAGTCCCTACATGTTGCTCTCACAAGTTACGCCCACTCTGTTCCTCAGTGGGGCTGATGCCCCCCTAAACGTTGCTCTGATGTCACAGAAAGGCATCACCTTGATTGTCAATGCCACGCTGAGTCATGCCTTCCCCTCCTACCCAGGGGTGGAGTGTCTCCGCGTCCCCGTCTGTGATCTGCCCTGTGAGCGGCTGGAAGCCCATTTCGACCATGTGGCCGATCGTATCAATGGAAACCACACAGGAGGCACGCTGGTGCACTGCGCCGCCGGGATGAGCCGCTCTCCGGCTTTGGTGATGGCGTACCTGATGCGGTACCGTGGCGTGACGCTGTGCCAGGCCCACCGGTGGGTCCAGGAGAGCCGTCCCTTCATACGGCTGAACGTAGGTTTCTGGGAGCAGCTGCTACGGTACGAGAGGAAGCTGTACGGCCGCAACACGGTCAGGGTGGAGCCCGACAGGGCGGGTCTAAAGAGGATGGATCCAGGTATGGTGGTTCCTCTGCGGACGGAGCTGACCCGGGCTGAGGGGACGCAGAAAGACAACCGGTTAAAATCTGTACCCAGGTCACCTGGGACAACCCATACTCCCATGATGTCTCGCTCTCGGAAGACGATGTCCGCCAATCCATCAAAAAGAGGGTCCAATGTGTTATCAGAGAGCACCAGAACAACAAGCAGACAGCTGTGAGTAGGCGGAGCCAAGATACCTGGACAGGTGTGGAGCACCACTGTTAAACCTGCAGACTCATAGTTCTGTTAGCAGACAGAAACTTTTCCAGGGCTTTAAACATGAGCGAGGACAGCAGAGTATTAGGACCAGACTAATTACAATAGTCCAGCCTTGAAGTAACAAATGCATGGACTAGTTTCTCAGCATCAACCCTGGACAGGAGATTGCTCATTTCTGCAATATTCCTCAGATGAAAGAAGGAAATTCTAGAAACCTCTTTGATCTGGGATTTAAATGACAGGTCCTGATCAAAAACAACACCAAGATTTTTTACTTTATTATCTGAAATCAGTTTAATCCAATCCAAATGAAGTGACTGACTAATCAGCTTCTTTTTCAGAGACTCTGGTCCAAAGACTATAACTTCTGTTTTGTCTGCATTCAGAAGCAGAAAGTTAAGAGTCATCCAGGTTTTTATGTCTTCAGACATGCCTGTAATCTATGTAATGGGTTAGCTTCATCTGGATTATAGCCAGATATAGCTGGGTATCATCAGCATAACAGTGGAAATTAATCCCATGCTGTCTAATAACTCTACCGATTGGGAGCATGTTGGAGTTAGATTTGTTCAGGTCTTCCTATGCTGTCCCTGCATTAATGCTCAGACATGCAGCAGCAGCCTCTGTCCTTCAACCCTCAAAATGAGCGAAGTTCCTTTTTAACCAAATAGCCATTCTGGGATGACTCAACATGTTCAAAATAAGCAAGATTTTATAACTTCACATTTGGCACATTCCCAAAACTCTCTAACACTGAATTTAAAAGAATCCATTCTTAAACTGCTGGAGGACATGGGGGACATTCTCTGCTTCATTCTATCTCTATAGTTCTGCTGCTATAGGCTTAGACTGCTGGAGGACATAGGGACCCCTTTTTCATCATTCTGCTTCATTCTATCTCTATTCTCCCACTCTGCAGAATCTGTTAGTTCAATCTCTAACGTTCTGCTCTCTCTGCTTTTTCTCATAGTAGCTTCATCTGGTCTGTTCCTGTTTGGCTGTGACTCCATCCTGGAGAGAAATATCAGCTGTGCTGCTGCATCAACACCTTCAATCACACGCTGGGACAGAATTGTTGGCAGCCAACGTTCCCTCTAATGTCCCATGTTTCTCTGCATCCTGAGCTCGCTGAGGATCACTATGAGCAGCATCATCTGTTCACTCTGAGGTCACTCACCAACCTTACACCTGTTAGAAACACGGGATGATGGCAGGTTACATGGATTAGGAAAATAATCCGTTTACAGCTGCAGGTTCCATCAGTATGATTTGAATAGAATTGATTTGGCCCATTTTAAATAAAATCATGTTCCTGAACTGTAGTGTCTTATCTGTCAGAGTCTGATGTTAAACCTTTCAGACGGAACCTTTGTTCACATTAAAACATTCACATGTTACGCAATGAAACGTGCTGAGGCTGAATGTTACAGTTATTTTAGCATTCCTACTCACATAAATTATATAATTGTGAAAGCATGAGTAATACCCATAAATAAAAAAATCCTAATTAATGTCACTAGAATATGAACAAATCAGACTTTTGGTCCACATCTTCTCCAATGGTTGTCCACCTTATCCTTACATTTTAATGCAAGTAATAAATAAACATTAAGCTTTGAAGAAATTCAGGGTAAAGGGGCGAGAAAATTATGGTTTTCTCCAGATCTGTTAAATAGCATTAATGAGTGTAATAAAGCATGGGAGAAGTCAAGACAGAGTCCCTGCCAGTGATTGGTCATGTTTAGACGGCTTCGAAATAAATACACTTTGCTTATTAAAAAGGTCGAAGTAGAATTGTTTTTGTCCATCATCACTGAAGAACTCAATGATCCTCTGAAATCTCTGTCATTTAATAATAATAATTCTCAGACTCTTCCAACATTTCTAATTAAAGACTCAGTCCCAGTTTATGATTGAACTAAAATCTTGAATTGTTTTAACAGCATTTTTTATCATCTGGTTCTCTATTTGATTTAAAAGAGGAAACTACCAGGAATATTTCTGCAGAATTTTCCATGTTTTGTAGAGAGCCTTTAATTTAAAGTACATAAACATCAGAACATCAGAGCACAGAAAGCCCCCCCGACCTGACTGGACTGAGCTTAACTTCCTAAAACTGGCAGCTGGTTTCATATCAGAGCCGCTGTTCGTTCTGTTTAATCGTTCAATTGAAAACAAGGACATCTCGTATATTTGGAAATCTGCATTCATCTTTCCTTTTAAATTTAAAGGAGGCGATCCATCAGTTCTAACTAATTATAGGCCAATTTAAAATGTGTTTTATCTAAAGTTCTGGATCTCTTGTTTGTGATCAACTGAAAGAGTTCCTCCATTGAAATGTAATCCTTTCTAAATATCAATCAGGTTTCAGAAACACACAGCAGCACTATTACTGCTACTGCGAAGGTGTAAATGATAGAATTATAACACTTGATAAAAACAGGACGGAGCTTCAGTCTTTATTGATCTTTCTAAAGCTTTTGAATCATGACCTTA